CTATCATTTTTTCAATTCACAAATGCACACTTGCATTGCCTACTAAGAAAGTTAGTACCGGTAGTCATCAGGTAAAAGATCGTCATAACAACTAAAAAGGAAACAAATTCTAACCAATTGAATGGCAATAACAGAATAAACAATGGGCCACATAAATCACATCTTTAATATAATGTTTTCTTCTGATTTTTTTTTTTTGACTTGTTTACCACGACATAAAATGTACACATTCATTTCTTCCTCTCTTTTTTTTAAAATAAATTTTGTTGCATTTTTCTTTCCCTTATTTCAAATTATTTTAATATAACTTTTTTTTTTTATAATCATTCACCTTTAATGTTATTAATATAATTGTATATTATTTGTCTGTGTTTTACAATATTTTTTGGTTTGCCTACACAACAAAGATTTTCTAGCAATTAATATACATGAAATGAAATGTATATGTTCCATTTCTTTGTTTTGTTATTGACATTTGAACTGCTTCCTTGTTTAATGCTTATAAGGATGAAGGACATTCTGAAAATATTATTCAAAAATAAATTTACAGTGTTGTTTATTTTTGATGAGAAACATTTTTCTAATTATATTGTGCTATGTGGGCCTTTTTTAGTTTTTTTTGTTTATATATCTAACTTTCCACATTGATTCATCCTTAAAAACAATCATTAAAGAAAGCCAGGTCACTATGTTAAGACAATCTATAAACAAACACAGTCAGTCCTACCTATAATCATAGAGTTTGATCAAAGTTCACAAAAAAAAATCTGTCAAAAAATCTAGTCAACCCAACAAACAATAAAAGATTGAATAAATAATGCAATAAAATCAGCCAAAAACACCTGGTCATTATATTGATACAACCTTAAAATAAATCCAGTCAGTCCTACATAGTCACAGAGTTGAACAAATACTGCAAAAAAATCAGTCAAAAAAAACCCGATCAGTAAAGTAACAATTAACAATTTAGTCGGTCACATATATATATATATGACTAAACAGTTTGATCAACAGATTTCAAAAAAATCTTCTAAAATAAACATTTACCTATTTATTTTTCTACTATAAAAACTAACCTTAGTCTTATTTCATTCAACCAAAATGGAGTGTTTAAATAACTTCTATAATTTTTTTGTTTCTTCTCTTCTACTTTCAAAACTTAACCCTTATAACAACTAAGCATTTTACTATAAGACATTTATTCAGATAGTACAAGACTTTTCATGAGTTGTTACAAAAGAAGCTTATTATGTAAAATACTAATCCTTGTCTGTGAACAGCTTTACTTGTTTACCTCTAGCAACTGGAGCTTAACTCTAATTTCTCCTTGAGTTTGGATCAATGGTGGCCTCTTCATGCTGAAAATAGTTTGGCAAATAAAAAAATTAAGTACATTGTTTGTTCACATTATATACACTGATATTAATGAAAAATATTATCTTTATAAAATAAAATATAAACTTTCTTTAAGAAAAATGTATAAACAAGAAATCCAAGATTATCAAAATATAAGCATCCTCTCTCTCTCTCACACACACACACACACACACACACACACACACACTGATATAAAGCTAAATCCATAAAGTTAAATAAACTATTTTAATGAAGGGTATAGCTCTAAAATTGCATGATTTTATTAAGAGATAAACAACCTTAGTAAAATGTAAAAAAACTAAAAATCAATGATTATCAGGTATAAACCTCATCTTACAGAACAAGAATTATACAATTTTCCAAGATAAATTGGCTTACAGATTGATATATACTAGAAACCTAAAATTATCACCAGGTAAACTAAATAGTCAATCTTTATTATTTCTTTTTTATCTAAATAACTTTCTGAACAAATTTGAACTCTAAAATTGTTTACCCAAAGTCATGAGGTATTCTTGTGTAGAAGTCATTGCAGGCTTTCACTAACTTTGATCCCACTTCGTTCTTATTGATACATTTTTCAATTTCTTTCAGAGCAGAGTAGCCTGCCTTTATCTGGTCTGAAGTTAGTTTGCCTAGACACCACCACAAGGAAGTTTTGAAATATACTTTCAACTTAGGACAAGTTTAACCATTAAAGTTAACATCCTGTAATATAACCCCCCAAAAAATCTTAAGTGTTACCTAGAATATTTACTGAAAACTATACAACTTAACTTTTAGAAGTCAAGATAACATACTGAATATGGCTCTCAAATATGTATGACCAACTTGGATGCATCTTGTTACCATTTCACTTAGACTACATACATAAACTTGTTTACAAACTCACAGTACAAGATAAATTACAGCCTTGAAAAACAATAATAATGTGACAATGTTAAAGTTTGTAATACCACTTAAAAAGTGCCAGTAAAATAGTGGTCTCAATGAAATTCTACATTCAGAGCATTTCAACATTCATTTTGTTTTTGAAACACATGTTCTTTTTTGGTATTATTTAAAAGAGTAATGTAAGTACTGCACAATTCTTCTATTAATATAAAAGATACACTTAGATCAACACAATACTGAGGACAGAATTTTGTTTTTCACAAAAAGTTTAGTGTGACAGAAAATCAAAAATATTTTCCCACCTAAAGGTGCCTTCTTAGCATCATATTTCATCTCCATCACAGCATCTTCCATAGCTTGTATATTGCATATAAGTTCTATTAGTTGCTGAAACAGTTTGTAATAACTGCTCATAAAATCATTTATTTTAGGTAACTCACAGTGTTCTTATAGTTTGTAATAATTTTATAGTTCAAACATTGGAAGCTTTAAAAATTTTAATTACAAATTTAAAAAGATTATTCTACAAGTGTAAAGTAAAAGTAAAACATATTCTGCAAATTATAATGTCTTTTAAGACCTGTATTCCAGTAATGATTCTTCAATGAAGCTCCTTAACTTACAACACACATATATTATACCCTGTGTTAATTTAAATACCAAATTCAGCACCTTTACCCTCCCCAAATAACTAAATGTTTTGGGATAAATTTAAAAAAGCTACTCTTTAATAATAATTTAATAATTGATATTTAATTCAAAGAAACTATTTCACATGTTAATAAAAATAATTTTGTTTGACAAGTAAAATTTCACTGTCACATTAATCTAATTAGATTCAAACACTGTAAAAATATAGTACACTTGCTCCTGAATACAGGGAACAGTTTAAGCACATGTTCATGATCACATCATTACAATCACGTTCATTCTTACCTTCATTAACTTTAATTAAATATTTCAAATAATCAAACATTTAACTAGCCTCCATGGTTATTTCTATGATTACATTTTGGGTACAAATTATTTCATTTATGCTTCACATAATATTCCAAACACAACACAGGTACCATACAGAATCACTTTTTAATAGTACACATCACAACACAGGTACCATACAGCATCACTTTTTAATAGTATACATCACAACACGGGTACCATACAGCATCACCTTTTAATAGTACACATCACAACACAGGTACCATACAGCATCAATTTTTAATAGTACACATCACAACACAGGTACCATGCAGCATCACCTTTTAATAGTACACATCACAACACGGGTACCATACAGCATCACTTTTTAATAGTACACATCACAACACAGATACCATACAGCATCACCTTTTAATAGTACACAACACAGATACCATACAGCATCACCTTTTAATAGTATACATTACAACACAGGTACCATACAGCATCACTTTTTAATAGTATACATTACAACACAGGTACCATACAGCATCACTTTTTAATAGTACACATCACAACACAGGTACCATACAGCATCACGTTTTAATAGTACACATCACAACACAGGTACCATATAGCATCACTTTTTAATAGTACACATCACAACACAGGTACCATACAGCATCACCTTTTAATAGTACACATCACATCTGAAAATAAAGTGACAATACCTGTAGTCTGATATCTAACTTGGATGTGCATGTCTTTAGTGGTTTTTCTGGTTTTACCAGCTTGTCTTTTTCATCCTGTTTAGACTATACAAACCATTATTTCTTAAGTATTACCAGCAATACATCAGAAATAAGTTTTATTATTAAAGTAAGCACCTAACATTTTCCCAAAACAAGAGTTAACTGTAATAATTTTCAATAAATTCTGATCGAAAATAAGTTAACTATAAAGATCAGAACTAAAAAAAAGAAATGTATAACTTAAACTTATTCTACATAACTAATTAACTAGAAGTACATAACATCCTAAATCATTACAAAAGGAAACTAAAACCTATAGTGATAAGAAAGAATTCATAAGTTGGATATCCTCCCTATATTCTCAATATTTTTGGTCATAACCCCAATAATATACCTTAGGAGATATAGGTTAGCCATAATCCATATACTTATGTTAATAATGTCAAATAATCTTCCTACTTATTAGAAGTAATAATAATACAGAAATAGTCAAGTACCAAAAAAAAAGATTATTTTTTTATATTAATGTATGAATTTCAACAACCTTATAAACTACTAATTTTATTTTTAACAAGTCCAGAACCTATACATAATCATAAATTTTGGCTGAAGTGTTTAGAATATGTTAATCAAGTCTAAATTTCTTTTTGTTTCTACCATACACATTAAACTATCATAAAGTTTATGTTGTAGTTCTCAGCTCTTCAATGCAAAACTTAACGAGTGTTGGCTTTTATTATAAGTCAAATTTGACTAATTAGCTTAAAAATATTAGTCAAATGCTTCAACTTCAAGCCTATTGCAGCTATACCAGTGGTTAGTTTATAAATTTTTGTAAACCTGGGTAAGAAATACTTTGTTAAATAAGTATTCTTTCTTGCTGAAATTAATGAACTAAATATGTAGGATGCTACACAGTAAATAGAACACAAAACAAATTTTGCAATACTAGTTCTTTTGTGGCAAGTTCATTAACATTTTTTATTTAATGAAAGTTGCTCTTGCAGTAAAATTTCAAACCTCAGAATTTAATGCCAAGTCCTGAACTTGTTTATATTAGAATAATAAAACAAAAACTTTTGAATATTTTATGATATTGAATTTAAGTTACAATCTTTAATAACATAAAATACATAAAGTGTAACTTTTATAAGTATCTATTTATAACAAAACATGTGCTAAGAAGCTTTTCACACAATAAAATTACTTCAACATTTCCTAAGCCTAATTGTGAGCAAAGTTCTCTGTCACTAATCATGTTACATTTCTGTATCTATACTGCTTTAACTAACAGGCTTTTATAGCATATTGGTCTTTTTTAATATTTTCTCACTGAAGAATGCAATATGTAATTATTTTTTGTGTTCTTAAAGACACAAAATAACTATAATATCGTATTAAATTGTAACAGCCTTAAATCAAATCATGTCATCCAGCTGGGAAAAGTTTGTGGTGTTCATGTTTTTTTTTTCTATGTAACATTTGTTCAACATTATAACCCAAATCAAGTCATGCAATAAAAAAGAAAATTCAATTTAAAGCAGACTACTAACTTTTGTACGATATATTTTTGGCTGTATTTAACATTGCACTAGTAAACATCTACAACTACTGTTTTTGACATGTTAACCGCTGGTGAATAGAATTCATTTGTAACTGTTCTAAAAACTCAATAACTGTCACAAAGTTTAATTCTGTACATTCTTACAAGGATATCAAAGTATTTGAATACATTTATAGTGGCATTCTTTTGTGTTATGTTTTCAAAATGCAGAAAATGTACACACTGTATGAGTGTATAGGAACCTGAATATATAGGAATGTAATTAATAACCAGTAAAAATAACTATCAACAGTTACAAAATAAAGTGGCTCATTGGTAGGCTTGAGGACACATGATGCTAAAATTTGTGGTTAAATCCCTGAAGTGGGCACAGTGCAGACAGCTCATTGTACAGCTTTGAACTTACAATAAATAAACAAAAATAAGGACTGGTCATGTGATCTAATATACACATTTCAGTGGTAATGAAACAGGGTTCATTAAGTTGGCCTTTATAGAAAATGACCAATGGTGTGGATTCCTCTAACTCTCAGCTACAAAACAGCCCATCTTTAGTGGTGTTGATAACAGGGATTGAGCAATTGAAATATGAGCAAATTCCTTGTTTACAAATGATCCCTGCTTCACACTGTAATCAAGTAAAAGACACGCATGCATCTGGAGCTTGAAAGAGGTCAAGACCAGATTTGACCCTAATTTAATGGAGGAAAGACATGCATATGGCTGTGGTGCCATACTGGTTTGGACAAAAATCAGTACTGGTGACCACACTGACCGTTATGTGCTACAACTCAACATTATGTCATGATTTAAGGATTCAGTGTATTAGAGCTTTCTTCCAATGGATGATAACGTGCACCCTCACCAGCATGCTGAATTGCATGGTTAGTAAATAAATTAAATAAAATAAATATAGGATCTTTGGGAAGGCAACTGACAGCACACGATTTGCATCTGAGCAGTGTTGATGATTCAGGCTTGGCCACATCACCTCAGTGGCTCATCAATTCACTCATTTTAAATATTCCACATTGGTATGTAACTTGTATTGGTATTTGAGGTGATCAAATACCTTAATAACAAACATTTTCTGATAATTCATTACACTGAAAAGTCTGTAGTATTAAATAAGTATTTGTGAACACATACCCATTAGTGAGTACTTGATTATTAAACTCTACAACTATCTACTTGTTTGTATAAAATACAAATTCATGTAATAACAGAGGTTTGCCTTATCAAAACTAGAATACAAAAAACTCTGGTTATCCCATAATTATTTTAAGGGAAAACTTCAATTATCTTTTTCCTATTTTGAGCTGGATATATATATCTTAGATAAAGAAAGAAAGTTACATTAAAATAAACACATAAGATAGTTACAAATTCTACTCACGTCAGCACTATAGTCCACTTTGAGGAGATCATACTTTCCATGTACTTTCTCAAAATTCTCTCGAGATTCCCAAAGGTTTTTAGTCTTGTCCTCAAACCTAAATAAAGTATTAAAAAAGTCGTTCTTACAACAAGCATGTTCATACAGCATTGTCTTCTATCTCTAACAATTTTAATGCACTATTACAAATGAAAATATAAAACTTAGCATCACCAATTTTAAGACAAAAACTTCACAATTCAATATACTAATTTATAACCAGTCTTTTCACAAGAAAAAGTATAATGACATATTATTATTCTACTGACCACAACACAAAAGGAAATAGTCATTGCCTGACAATTTTCACTCTTAACTCTTAGTGAACAGATAAATGTGTATTTATAGAGTAAGAAGGCAGGTGTGGAAAAAATAATTTAATGTACAGCTTTATATTTAATTGACCATTTGTTCATGAGGTCGGTCAAATTGACAAGTCTCTGTAAAGCTATAAATAATGTTTACTATAATTTTGAAATTACTATGTGTGACTTCATGAAATACGACAAGCTTTTAGTAAATAAGTCTATAGTACACAGAGAATCAGATTTTTAAAATAAACTACCATACTGGACCGATTATAGGGTGATCTCAAATATAAGGTGAGCCCCATTTTCAGAAACCATGAGAAAGAAAAAATTGAGTATCATAACGTCCTTTTTTTTAGGTCCACAAGATCAATACTATAACTGAATAGCCAGCAGGTGGATTATTTGCAAAATTAACGATGACTTTGAGTGAATATCTCATGCACATGCGTAGACGATGCTATCTGGACATTCAGGAATACAACAGGCTAAATTATAGGGCAAACATGAATTTTACAGCCTAATTATTAATAACAAAAAATCGCCTTATAATCAGACCAATACGGTATTTCTTACAAAAGATTTAGTTGTGAATTTCTAAAGCCTTTACTGAGTCAGTTTGAATGAAAGATAATTTTCATGCTACAAATAAAAACACTTCTTTTTATCATTATCATTTTCCTTGTATTTTCAGATAGATACTTACCTCTCTGCACCATTAAGAACTATTACCTCACACACAACTGTCATGGAATTTCCTGCACATGCCACAAGCCTTGAACAAACTCCCACCCCTACATGTGTCATGTGCCAGCCTATGACATAATTGTCCTAATACTGTCACCCTCCACCAATGAGAGGTTGACACAACCTCTATGCAGGAAACCCCATGGGAACTAGCACGTGATAATAAGCTCATTCTTGACAAGGCATAGAAAATGCACTAGAAGTGGAAAGGTGGTGCAAAGAAGTAAATATCAATCTAAAATACATTTTCAGATAAGGAAAATGTTAACCTGTCTACACAAGTAAGAGCTACAATTCCACATTGAAATTGATGGAGGGGGCCAGTGCAAACCAATTACAAATATAAGTTCCTTTCCAAAAAAAAAGGGACAGAAAGGGAAAGCCTATGGGGCGTGACTTCCACGATAGCGGGGATTGCCTAGTAGAGCACCACCAAATGGGAGACCTCATCCTTCTCAAGCAGGGAATACTCTTTGCCTAATTCATTGATAAATTTTATGTACAGTACAGAGAGATATACAGTAAAGGATATGTAAAATAATATTCATCGATCACATTTATTTCATAAACATCCATGTATCACATTTTTATTACATACATATAAAATATTACAAACTGACACAAAATTTATTTCATAAAAAATTGTTCATCTTAGTCTGTTTTGCACATTTAACAGTCACTTTGAATGTTCACAAGTCTGGTAGTTATTATATCAAGAAGTGTTTCATTGTTAGTTTTCTGTGTACAACTTTAGTATCAATTTATAAAATAACGTGTAATAAACGTCCAGGATTCTACATCAGAGAAACCACAAGAAACTTGGAAACCAGATTCACCAAACATAATAAAAAACATCCCATATTTACCACCATTGCAACTCAAAAAATCCACAGTATATCTATATAAAACGCTGTAATTTTAAACAAAGAACCAAACCTCAGAAGCTACGTATCTTAACTGAACAAAACAGCCCCACCCTAAACCAAAATTTCACCTTGAAACTTGGATCCTTTAATCCCATCTCTGAAAAAGGGACCATTCTGCAAATTTAGAAGAACCAGTAAAGAAATAAGAATAAATATTTGAAATAAATTATAGCTAGACTCTGGCCAATATCTAACAAGGTAATCCTCTCTGACTACAAATACTATATAAAATGTAATATGTTGCATTAAAGCAATTTCAAGTTAACTAAAAATTCTCTAATTTCTATGTTTCGTTTATTTTGATGCTTTCTTCACAACTTTGGTCTATATCGACATCCACGTCATGTTTCTATATCAACACTTCGAGCCTTCTTCAAAGCGACTTCCTGTTCTCAGCTTGAGATATTCCCACTTTCCTGGATGCCTTGAGGTATTTCACTGGCCATGCTTACCACACAGATTAGTCGAGTCTGTCACTCAACAAACCATGAGCTTATAATCTTCAAGTAAATCCTTATTAAATTACTTAACATCCAGGACACTAGCTCAAAATCTACTACATTTACTAAAAGAATAAACCTTAATTCTGTGAGTGGGGCAAAGATAAACAACACTTTCTAACTGCTCGCAGTTACCTTTCAGGACCTGAAAGTTTTAAACCAAAATACCTACTTGTATGTACCATGGAGTTTGACTTGAACACCCCGAGGTACCAAGATACATATACTAAACTGTGAAGGAATCTCTGGTCATGTGACCTCTATAAATTACATTATTAATATGAAGAAAAGTCATTATAGAGAGGTTGTTATTTGACCATCCACCCAAAAATCATGGTCGTATGTCGCATCTGTCAAGAAGTCATTCATGGGAGATCAGATCAATGTAAAATCGTTCTGTGCACTGAAAAAAAAGTCATATTCAAAAGGAAGTTGTTACTGGGAGGGATTGTGTCCACCAGGGACTACTGTAACATCAACTGGTCCCTGTGATAGAGAGTACAAAAGATTTTCAAGGCTTAAATGTCCGAATGATGATAACCATAAGCAGGGAGAAGAAGAAATATGATTTGAGAGACAATGATACAAGAAGAATGAGGCCAACAGCCAAAAGGGGGCATGTAAGTTTGACAAACCACATAAAGGTCCCAATTGGGAAGAGGAGCTGGACAAGAGGGGCGATGGACGAAGAAGACCATGTCAGGTCTGTGATAACAGATGAAAGGATGAAATTATCACCCAGGAAGAGGTGGAAGGTCATGGATAACACCACTTAGTAATCTGCAATGGTCAAGACAAACAGGTCCTTGTTGAAAAGCCAATGAAGGAAGGAAGATGTGGAAGATTAGCATGACCCAGCCAAAGCAAGCAACAGAGAGAGTAGTGGCAGTAAACAGCCCAATTCTGTTGAAAGAAGGCCTACAACAATGAGGGAGAAAACAGGCTACACTGCAAGGAAATCCCATACACCTTGCAAGGGACCTGAGAAATCCCATGCATGAAGATGAAGGCACAATACCATTACATGAAAAATGGATAACTGAGGTCAACAGAAGAAAGACATTCAAAATGGGAGTCACAAAAGCATCAATCTGAGGAGGGTTCTGAAATGGGAACATATTCAATGGAAGATCAAAGGATGTAAGTACTATTCCATGGGAGTGATCCACCCCCAGGTACGTGACAAGTCATAAAATGAATATATATATATATAATGAATTGAGGCCCAAAACATGAAGTCCAGAGTGAAAAAGCACAGATTATATATTGGGTGCCCTCTTGGCAGTTGATCGAAGAAGCAACCATGGACTTATATGAGCAGATCATCACAAGATGACCAGACAACCTCAATAAAAGGTGGCAGGCCAGATAAGCTACAACCATCTACAAAAAACTGATATGCAGAGAATGCTCCTCTGGAGAACAGTACTCAGAATGATAGTATTGAGAACCACCCCAACCAAACACAGAGGCACTGGTGTAAAGATACAAGTTGGGCCAAGAGGAGGAATGGTATCTCCCAGGTTATGTTGGATAAATTGAGTCACCATGACAGGGAAATGTAGAGAGGAAAGTAAAGACACAAGAGCAGATAACTGAGGGCAGGACATGTTCCAATGATTCCCTAGAGCCCATTGAAGGGGATGCATGTGTGTACAACCAAAAGGAATCAGGGTTCTTAGGGAGCAGAAGGCCCCAAATACAAAAGAAAAGTGTACTGGATACCAAAATATCCATTCCACAAATACACAAGGGAGAGTGGGAATCAAAACGGACTTGGAAAGTTAGACCAGTCAGCCCAGGTGAGAGGTCTCCTGAAGAAGAGTGGAAGTAGCAATCACCAATTCCTATCAAGCATTTCTATCCTGGTTAAACACAGCCTGGGAGAGAGAACCCAATGCAGACAGAGAAAGTCATCCAACAAGAATTGAGGAACAACAAAAAACAGGGTGCTAAATCTCAGACTGCATGAGAACGACAAAAAAAAACAACCTAAGTGAGTTGGGGTTCTATAGCTCCCATTGCTAACAAAGAGGGCACCATGTCCTGAAGATGATGAAGAAGCAAAGGATTGGTGGGAAGAAAACAGGAAATACAACAGTTTGAAAGGAGAGGTGGAGCATGAAAGAAGAGAGTGAAATGATAAAAAAGAATATGCAAAACCCCAAGTTCAGTGGAGAAGGAAGAAGACAGGAGGGTAAAGTGGAAGACGCAAGCACTGATGAGATTAGAACCTAGGATCAAGTCCAATAAAGAGTCACCACTCAAAGCTGCAATGTCTAGCCATGTAGGGGGGGGGGTAAATGATAAACAAAGTAAGAGAGAATGAAGAATAGAAGAAGGGTAGCCTGAAATGTTTCCAGAGGATGAGTGGCAGATAGAGGACCAGTGATTTGGAAAGGCAAGGAAACAACAAAAGGTTGCAGGTGAGCAGATCTGTAAACATATAGGCAAGATGAAGGTTCCAAACATAAGATGAAAGGATGTGGACACCCAGCTGAGGAGATCCCCAAAACACAGAAACCAGGTTAAAATAGAGAAAGGAGAAAAAGAAATGGAAATCACAGTTGACCCCACCAAAACTATTGGAGTCACAAAAAAAGAAAAAAACTTTAGGAAGAAGGTGAAGGGCAAAGACAGAGTAAGAAAGTAAGATAAATTCAACAAAATTAACAGAAAGGGGAAAGAAAAGACAAAGAAGGAGAAAGAGGAGTACTATAAGCAGACAAAAAGGACACAGTGATTGGGGGCCAAGACCTGAGGCCATAGCAAAGGAGCCACAAAAACAAGTAGAACAGGAAAGATGTGGGACAACATGGAATTGGGTCATAAGGAGCACATGAGCCAAAATGATATTACAACAGATAAGTATAAAATATAGAATATCATACACAAGCATCGCAAACAAAAAAGGAAGAAGTACCTATTATTCTTCAGTGAGTGAATAGCCAGAAACAAAGATCAGAGTTGAAAAAAACTGGCCAAAAGTGTCAACAAGTGAGACAGGCTCCACATAAAGCAAAGAAACAAAACAATTAGGGACCTGAAATAAACAGAAGAGAGCCAACTACCTGATGCATGAAAGTGGAAATATCATCAATTAACTATGGTTCCTCACAGCCCAACAAGGTTATGGAACTTAAGTTATCCACAACATAGAAAATACCTCACAACAGAGTGAAATCCAAGACCCATCACACACACAAGTGTACTCTACTAAGTGATTTAAAGGCAGAACAACTGAATGTAAGGTCCATAAACAGTGTATACAGTCGTCATTGAATCAGTTAGAGAAAATAACTGAAAACTTATATATTGTTGAAAGAAGTCTAAATTAGAAATGTGATTGCAAGAGAAAATGAAGTTGCAATCAGGTGGATGGAACAAAAGAGCAATAAGTAGAAAAACAACATAGCACTAATGAAAGAAAGACAGTCTGTTAAGTCGATTATAAAGTCAACAAGCATAAGAAAAAACACATTTAACATAGGCATTACCATTGATGGAGGGCTACAGCATTGTAATGATTATGTCATAGGCTGGTGCAATACACTTGTAGGAGTGGGATTTAATTCAAGGCTTGTGTAGGAAATATCATGGCAGCTGCATGCGAGGTAATAGCTCTTAGTGGTGCAGAGAAGTAAGTGTTATTTCTGAAATGCAGTTATCATATTTCATTTGCATAACCCCTAGAGATTCCTCTATGAATTGCAAGTTTTTCACACCCATTTCCTTTTAATTTTATGATTTTATTATTATGCTCTGTAGTGACTAGGAAAGCAATCCTTGCATCAGAGCAACAAATCAGTGGGAGCTCATTAGCTGTTTTCTATAGAGCTAACATAAACACCAAGTGATTACTGAGTGTAATGTTTCACAGAAAACATATGCTTATGAAATTTTAGACATTTTATTTTACTGATGTTTTGTTATGATAAGCTGAGGAATTTCTAATTTTAAAATTTTACTTATTTTTGTAAATAAGGATGAAGAAAATGTATACATAAAAATAAGGAATAGTATGTCCCAAAACTACTATAATTTATTTAATTTTCTAAGTAAGATATAAATAGGTTAACAAAATTCCTTTAGCATTTGGAGCAACAAAATATGATCACTACATACCAGGTAATTTCAGTGACTAATGATTTATGGAATGAAAACTAAAAAACAATTTACGAAGAGGAAATTCTGCTCTTTAGATTGGTCATAAACATGTCAATCAGCCAAGTAAAGCAGATTAGCAAACAATCTCAAAAGTTAGAATGAGAGGGGAGGTCTTCTCTGATGGGTTTGACACTGATTGGTATCTCACCAAATCAAGATGATAAGAGGTTCAAATTCCTGATTCTTGCTTGTAATTATATATATAGTTTGTGTTTCTAATTGGTTGGAAACTTCACCTACCTATCTTTGACGTTAGAAAATTCTGAAGTAGAGAAATTAGAGCTCAGCATCACGTAACACACAAAAATAAAGATGGGGAATTTTTTAAATATTTCTTTTTGAAATTAAAACTGACTTAATATACATGCACCAAAACAGCTGCCCTCACAGAGGTTTTCCAGCCAGTTAGACTAACTTGCAGTTTAAATCTTTACTGGTCGACTAGCTTTTCAAATAGTATCTCATTGGTATCTACCAGTTGATAGAAACACTGATAACCTTATACTTTCCAAACGTTTTATAAACTTGTATAAACATCATGTATCAAAGCCAAACAGTGAAGAAATTCAAGTAGAAAAATGAGCTTAAACAACAGTAAAATATATGTATACAAAAATAACCCTAAATTAGTTAACACAAACTTGCCACAGTAATACAAATAACATTTAACAAACATCTTAACACTTATATTAAAAGATTATAAGTTTTTACATGTTATATCTCCTGTTCAACTAATCTAAATTTACAAACACTTTTAGTCTTGTAACAAAATAAAAATTAAATCACACTGCCCATTGTATACATTTTAAAAGTTGGTAGAGAATGAACTAGAACAAATCTAGGAAAAAGTTAGTTGTAATTCATTTATCAATTTCACACATAGTCATAATAAATATGGCTTTAAATATTCTCTTCAGAAAAATGAAAACTAGGATAGATATCATCTAATGTTTAACAGTATAATAGCTTTAAGAAATCTGGGTACAGAATTAAAGTTCATTGCAGGCCTATAAAAAGCTGTTGGCTAGTTTGTATTGCTTTTATCACAAATGTTTGGTGTTAAAAAAGTTAGGCAAAGTCAATTATTCTCATATCCTGAAGCTACTGATCACAGAAGTCTCCAATAAATATATCAACAAACTGTCTATTCTACACACTACAGCTATGTCTCATGTTTCTATATTTTTTTCCTATCAATATTTCCCTCTCTTCTTCAAATTTCAGTTTTTATATCTTTCAAAAATGTTTAATGACCTTACACAGGAAATATTATCTATATTTCCAAACTTAAACAAATCTTATTTATATTTCTTACCCTTGAATAAAACTTACTTCTGTTTAAATGTAGCTTTAGCTTTTTCTAAGTTGCTGCCACATGTCACAAGATTATGTTGTCCTTTCTTTCCAACCCTGCCCCATCGAAACCACACACTATAAGATGGTGAATCATCGTCTTCTAACAACTGAATAATGTAGTACTTGTTGTTGTTATTCTGCAGATTTGTCTGGTTCAACAAAGCATCATAGATGTCATTTCCCTCACAGTAAACATGAATCTTCCCTTCTTTGTACGTACATTCAGAATCAACAGGTGCTTTACCTTTTATCACAATTGTCTTGATGTCCTCATTATCTGTAGCTTCAGTTTGTTTAGGTTTTACTCTTTTCCTGGTGGATATGAAATAAAAACCAGAAGCTCACTTATTCAAAAAACAAACAAGTTAATACACTGAGTTAATATATGAAAATTAACTGGTTTGAGCCTTACTCTTCTTAAAAGTCATGCATCATAAATAAATTAGCTGTATTTACAATTTTTTTTCACCTAAACAGAAATCTCAATGTAAATATTTTGGATGCTTTTGTATAAAATTCTAATCAAATTGTAAAAACAAACAAAGAAATAAAAATATTAAGCATCAAAAATAAAATGCTTTTAAGACTGGTTTGTTTATTATGAAGATGATAAATACTAACCCTTTTGTGTCACTAGCCTGGTTTTTGTCTGTCTTGTTTGGTGATTTTGATGGTTCATCTATTACTGAACCATTAATTTGATTACTAAGTGTCAATAATGGAGCATATTTCACCCTAAGAACTGTCCTTTTTCTTTTACTGCTATCTGACTCAGTTAATGCCTTCAGGTCAACAGTGTATTTTCTCTTTCCTAAAGTGAAACTGACCACAGATTCCCCTTTTTTCAAAGATTCTTCAAACATCAAAACCTGTTTTGGACCATAACTGATATGATCATTGTCTTCATCAACCCACAGCCAGAGTGAACCACCACCACCTAAAGCATCAGGAAGATAGCACCTGACCTTCCTCTCCCAGCCTGTTTTTTTATTACGCTGGACCATGTTGTCAAAGTTAATAACAAATTGGATATTATTTCCATTATTTACTAAGACCATCTTTTTACCACTAGCTACAGCTTTATTAATCTCTTTTCTGTGGTCATCTGAATAAAATGTCCAGTTTCCATTATCAGCTTCCCATTCCCATCGTAATGAAAGTACAGCACTTTTGTCACCTGCTCCATTTTCTTTCTTTTTCACTTTTTCTGCTGGTTCTTTTAAACCTAATAGTTTAATTAAGATTATGTATTAAACTTAAAACTAAATTATGTGTAAAATGTGATAATCCTACAAGAACAAAAAAAGTCTGGATCAATACATATATCTTTATTAACATAAATTTTTTTATAGATATAACAAGTTTATACCTATTTAAAATATCACTATGAAGCAAAAAACTAGAGGTGCTTTGATTTTACTTTTCAAATTTGTTAGATGCATCTTTTTTTTCTTAGGGATTATCTTGCTTTTACCAGTTGTAAATATACACTTTCAATTGTTTTCCATTCAGATGATTTAGTTATACATGTCTCACAGTTAATAACTCATCTTTACATTTAAATGATGTTTTTTCTGGGGCTACTAGCAATGTTAGTTTTTACTACTAACATCCATACCCATTCAACCAACACATAATTACAGAAAAATATACAAGTAAATTTAAATTTACAGTAAAAATGTGAACACATTACTTGTGAATAATCTGGTGATTTTACTATTTTTTCTCTTCCACTGTCTAGTAGTAGTGGTAAGAACCTAGCCCTTCATTTTATCATGGCACACAAACATACTGCTTGTTCCCTAAGGCCAACATTGTCACTGACTAATTGAGAGCCAGAAGTTGAACTTGTTTTCAACAAACTACTGTTAGTGTTACTATTTAATTTTTGATTGAAATAAATTAAGCAACAATTTTGGAAATATTAAAGAAAAGCTTTTTTTGTATTATTTACACCATAATATTTAAAATTGACATTGTACATGTATAAAAACCTTATTTTTGAATACTTAACAAAGTATTTTACCATTTTAATAAGGAAAATTAAAAGTAAATTCTGTCTTTAAGTTTAACTTAAAATTAAATAAACATGTCGGTAATCAGTAGTAATCATAATACTACTCATTTTTTAGTAGTGTTAGTGAATCATAATTCAGCTTACGTTAGATAACTTAATACAAACTTTTTTTTATTCACTGTAATCTAAATTTAACAGTACCTACCGTTTGCATTTCTTTTCGGCATCGTTTCCCGCTTACCCTCTGCTTTCTTTAGTTAGACAAATATATAAAACTATAGATAATAATACAGTTGCTCTACACCAAGATAATACTACTGAGCGCTACTGCCACTACGGTAAGTAAATTCAAGGCAGCCTGTTTCGAGAAAAAAACAAGTTTCTAGTAAATGTGTCTTAATTTTTCATAAGTAAATCAAATATAACTTTTTAAAACTGTAATTTGAAACAAATTAGCTTGCTTCCACAATGTATCACAAATTCAGAATCGTATTATACTCAAAAATCTACCAAAACAAGTTGCCACTAATACATGATCTATTCACCTACATCATTTACTACTTCGAATATTTCCCGCCACCAATAAAACAAACATCTCTGCAGCAACGGAAATAAAGATTTTAACACCAAATTTACAAAATCATAAAATATGTAGGATCCAAATTTCCGAAAGAGTGAAGTAACAGTTAATAATTTTATTTTATTTTTTCTAATATAGAATTTCGTTCTTGAATGTAGAACAATAGTTAAATATTTATTACTTTTCGACTATAATCAACATTTTGTTCAAAATGTAATACATCATTGTTTTACCTCAGATCAGTAGTATTTTATATTAAACACGGTATCACACCACCTCCTTCTACAAATATCCTGTTCCTTCGTGAATTGTCGGGAGATTATAAAGATTGGGGTTGGCCTGGTATATATATAAGACGGTCACAACGTGACGGAACAATGTGCAATTGAACTGAGTATTGCCGAGCACGAGCACGTGAGACGTTCTTTGAGAATTATAGCGTTGTTATAGAGTGTCTGTTGAAATTAAGTGTATCGGTAAAGTTGTATTCGGAAAGAATAAACCAGTTTTATTTAAGAAGGGATTGGTGTCGCTAAAGTTTCGTTGGAACGAATTTACGGAAAATTAATTAACGAACGAACGGAGACGTAACAAATTGGTGTCAGAAAGTGGGTTAAAAAAAAATAAGAAAAAGAGAAGATGGAAACGAGAAGCGGCAAATCAAACTACAGCTTAGCAGATTTGATGGCAGCAATGCAAGAACAGCAAAAGAAACAAGAAGAACGAGAAAGTAAACAAGAAGAG